TCCTTTAACACCATGGCAACAAGAAGTTTGACCGCACAAATCCAGTGTTCAATGACATCTTGCTGATTGTTTGTGTTTGTGCCAGTGGAGTCTGGAGCTGCTGAAAAGACTGGTGTAACATCTGTTTTCTGGTTAAATAAAGGATGTCCTTCTTTAAGGAAAAGGACTCTCTCTCTAGAGATTCTGCTGTCAGACTCTAAGACCAACCATCTGAGCCTGTCAGCGCCAAACGCATGAATTTTCAGAGCATGAACTTTGGTGCTTGGCTCAGATTACATTGCAGCTTATAAAGCCTGTCTTCAGGCTCCAAAGTTCATTTCTTTAATCATTTTTGAAAGCATGAAATGAGTACAAAGAATGAGTAAATAAAATTGAGTCTGGGTTTAAAAAAGAAACAGGTCAGTTCCTTTTTCATTATTCCAAGACAGTCTTTGCCATGAAATAATTAATTTGGTCAAATTAATGAGACATGGCCTCATTGTCCTGAACTTCATTTCTAAAGGGAAAAGCACTGAGGTTATCTGAAATCCACTCATTTGGAAATTTTAATGACTCCTTACATCAGGGACAGTGACATGATTTATGGTGCTTATTTTCTCCTCACAATATGCTGCATCAGAATACGAGCCGCACTTTATCCAGGTCTGTCCTGAGCTCTTTACCCCCCCCCTTCTATTCATCTGTGCTCCACATTAGTAATCCAATTACACACACTGGCTCCTGCCAGCGACGTCTCTGATCGTTTTTTAATCATATTAATGCTTTCAACTCGTTCAATTGTTTGTTTCAATCCAGGCAGGGACGTGGTCTCTGAGAGGACGAAGGAATGACACCGCTGATGACTAATGAATCCAGCAAAAAGCTGAGGGTGCTGCTGCCTCCTCCTCCCCCTCCTCGCTCACAGGCCGCTCCCTGCAGGGCCCACACCAGATGACCGCTAATTGACACTCTATTGTTGTTTGTAGGATCGATCTATAAATACTCGCTGATTTACAGCCCAGTCTTTACTTTGAAGGTACAGAATCACGGCTGACAGCAGAGGAGGCTCCGTACTCAATTTGGGATCCGACTTTACATTCAGTAGGAGTGGAAGTCAATATTCCCAGAGCTCCCCGGGGCTTCGAGAGGGGGAAACGGTGAGAAATGTTGACAAATAGATAATCAGTTAAAGGCTGGATGAAGCAAGTCTCACATGCCTCTCTGCCAGCCGAGATAAAAATCCACAAAGTGTAACTGCCGTGAAAGATAAGGAGGGATCTCATCTGCTCCACATCTTCCTCTTTCTCACAAATCCGCCACTGGCATCCATTTTTCTTCTCCTCCTTCCCCCTCTCCATTTCCATCGCTCTCCTCCTTCAAGCATCTCTTTCACTCAATGACAAACCCTTGCAGTTACATAAAAAGAAGAGTCCCTAAAACACATGTATAAAGATAAATCACTATGAAACTTTTAGACAGGAACACTGAGAGCATCAGCGTGGTCAGTTGTCAGAGGTGCAGCTCTACAAATTCATCAACAGAAAACTTTAATTTTGGGATGAATCAAATATGGCAAGGTTTCCCATCAGCCACTGAGCTTCTGTTTTGTTGCTTCTCTTTCATGAATTTTGCTCTGTCTTCTATAATTAAGTCTAAACCATAACAGAGAAGAATATAACTGCAGTAAATGTATCAAACCCTATTCTCTGTTGGCATTTTCTCCCTGCTCAACCAGCGCTGTAACTCTGCCAACACCCTTATTGTGTTTCAGTTTGTGATTTCCTTTGTTTTCTTCAATTTGGTGGATGTCTCTGTCATCCTGCAGTCCTTTTTCATGTTGTCTCTCCGTCCCTCATCTTTTTTCTCTGCTGCAGTGTTAATTTTGGCAGCTCTTTAAGATTTAGTCAAATTCTATGGATTAAAATGCCAGTTTCGCTTTGAACAGTCTCATTCTAGTTTTAGAAAACGAAACGTCAAAACATTTGAGTCATTTCTTTTAGTCAAAATGTTTTCCGTCTTCAAATTAATTCAATCAGTTACTCAGCAGCTGATGTCAAGGTTGTGCTATTTTTTCACTCTCTCAGCACTTTAATTTGTGTAATTTCTGAAGTCCTTCCCTCAGTTGACAGGCACCCCAGACAAACACTCAGTTCACTGCTCTCTCAGCCACGTCTTCATCCTCAATTATTAACATTTTATCATTGCTACAAAACAGCTCGTTAAATTTCCTCTCTTCATTTATGTTATCAGCAAAGTATTTTAGCTTGTCATTGTCTCGTCTTAGTCGTGGAAAAAAAATAAGTCGTTATCGTAAAAATTTTCATTAACGAAATTAACACTGCTCTGCTGGTGACTAATCAGCCATTAATCGCCTATCAAAAGTTTCATACTCTCCAAACAGATTGAAAAATTTCCCATGGTTTACTGGAGCTGTTGGAAAACTGCCTGACTGTCAGCAGCAACAGGTGAGAAACTTAAAGGTAAAAAAAAAAAAAAAGACAGGGCGTACAAAGACAGCAGCTAGAACGAAACATTTTAGACGGAGGCTGAAGTAATATTTATAATACACCACTGTGTATTGCTTCTCTAGTTATACCAACTTTAGTAACTGCAGATAGCGATACACAGCGGTCTGAGGAGCCATAAACAATCTCAACCAAAAAGCTACTCTATAGCCACAAATAAAGCACCTATTGTCATCAACAGTACATGTATACATATTAATGATAATTTCTTTATCATTTCAAGTAATAATCCCCATATTAATTATTTTGCACTGCAGTCCCAGTAGTCCTTTTGCCTGTCTTGGTCTGATTGCATTTCCATGAAGAAATGATCATAAATGTTCTTCCTTGAGCTGTGTCACCCCGCTGCAGTCCGTAATGGACTGGCCAGAGGTCTCACTACTAACAAGCGGCTGCAGGAAGAGAGTAGGTGAGCTGTGTTTCGTCTCTTTGCAAAAGAAATTAGGCACAATTGAAAAGATGTTTGGTGGCTAGTACTATGGCTGGGAACCTATATGTACTGTTGATGAAGTTAGGTGCTGTTTTGAGCATTATTTGTGGCTATAGAGTGGCGTTTTGGTTGAGGTTTGTTTATGGCTCCTCAGACCACTGTGTATCGCTATCATGCGGTCGTTACTTAAGTTGGTATAACTAGAGAAGCAAGCGGTCAGCAACATTCATCTCTCGAGGGGGTGTCTAACTCAGTGTTACGGTGGGTTTGACCCCAAATTAATTTTACGCCGGAATATCCCTTTAACAATGCTGTGCCGTTAATCAAACAGCAGGGTAATAGTTGACTATAACCTCTTTGATTTGGGCTCTTTGTGAAGAAGTCATAGTCGTTTAAGTGGGACAGCAGGGGTATTGCATGTCATTCCCCAGATTTCTACTCTATCTGCCATCATATCTTTACAGAAAGTCATGGGAGCTGGTAATACTTCTGTGAATATACTGGTTATTGCCTGTTTCCTATCCTGGGACAAGGACGGGAGTCTGATGGGAGTCAAGATGCCATTATATTTTTGACTGTGTTCCTCCTGCTTTTGCTCTTCATACAGACACCAAAGCCTGCTGAGACATGATTGGTCAATACTACTTAGGGACCACACTTCTCATACCATTGTCTGGTCCCACATGTTCAGATTTTGCACTTTTGCGTAGAATCCGTAAGTTAAGGGGTGATCTGAATGTTTTATCTGTTTGGTGAGTAAACTCCTGCATCTTGAATAGCTTTGTTGACCTTCTTGGAAATGTCAATGAGCGAATCAATTACATAAATGTTGGAACACGGTGACTCTCAGGCTAATGAGGAGGAGTGACAACCATCTGTTTTCTGTCAGAGTAACAGATCTCACATGGACACAAGTAGGAGGACGATGTGACAAACTCATCACGTGGTATAAATTCAAATGTTCTTGAGAAGGTGGGACATGCATGAAAAACTGGTCTAGATTATGAACTTCCTATACCCTTCAGCTGAACTGTGAGTATGCAACAGCTTGAACTGCGGTTTTGTATTTTTCTCACTAACATTGCGTTAGAATTTTTGCTATCTTCCTTAAAGAGCTGTAGGGAGACGTGAGACTGCAGGTCTGTGGAAATAAAATGAGATTTGGAGAAAATGACACAGTGCACAGTGGACGCTGTGCTTTCTCATTTCCCAGAATCCCCTCCTCCTCACAGCAGCCCAATCACTGTGACGCCCTTGAAGAGGACGGTTTGGCCATAAGATCTGCTTCCTTTTTTTTTCTCCTCCACTCCATCTTCCTCCCCTCCCTCCCTCTTCTTCCTCTAATCCTCCTCCTCTCTCGCACTAGGTCTGATTTATACTAGCGGGGTGAAGACGACGAACACTCAGAGCAGACCATATAGAGAAGACGAGGGGAGAGACTTCACTGATGCACCACTTTCTCAGCCTCTCAGGATGAGTGGATACAAGAGACGCTGACGCCCGAGACAACGGACACTGTCCATAAAGGGCAGATCTCTGAGGACAACAGCTGATGGGAGATGACCTTTGACCTCACAGAGAGGATGTATGCTGTGTGCGAGAGTGTCTGTTTGTGTAGAAAGAAACAAAATAAAGGTCAGATAGGAATACAGAGACTGTCAATGAAATTTAGATTCTGTTTTTGTGTGTGAAAATGTCAAGACAGCAGGCAGTATGAAAATAAAACCTGTTATCTGAGGACAGAGGAGTCACAACACAAGCAGATAGAACAACTCAACAAAAACAAAACCTGACCGACAGTCTCGATCCCTCTCTATGTTTTGTGGTTGGCATTTAAAGAACTGCTGTCTCATCAAAGATAACAGCTCAGTTCGTGACCCTAAGCTTCAAAATGTGGCCGGCTCTGGCCAATTTGGCACCCTGGGCAAAATTATGATTTGGTGCCTGCCTTATTTATGGAAGTACAAAATTTATTGATCAGGTTTCCTTTTAGAAAAATATGTGTTATTAATTATGGAGAAAAACTTACATGTTGCTTTCTCTGTAGACCTGTACCCTACGCAGACCTTAAAAATGTAACTACCTGTCAAACATTTTGGACTGCAGTCGGTCAGTAGGAGACCTAGGGCTCTATTTTGGTGCCTCGCCGGAGACGTGCCGCAAGCGCAGCGTCAGTCAGATCCGCCGCGCTGACAAGGCGTTCCCAAGCACATTTTGGTATTTTGGTGAGCCGCGCAGCCCGGCGTAAGTATTCCCCCTCCCTAACTCAGCTCCTCCCAGCACCATAAGTCGTAGACGGGGAGGAGAAAGGGCGTGTAGTTGGTTTAACACAGCCGAGACCTGTTTTCACCAATCACATAGGCTCCTCTCCTTGCCTTTAAATCCGCCACAGGCGAGGCGTATTACTATTTTCATGGAGTAGTCAAAGAGATCAAGAGATGTCTTAAGACAGTAATGCCACAAGATGGCGACAGAGGGCAGTTCCTCAACAAGTGTCCTCCACACTCTCTCATATGAGCACAGATGGATTTAGTGTGCGTAATGTTGGACCCACTGGTAAGACAAACACCCGTTTCCACAAATAAAGACACTCACATAAAGTTGCTCATATTCAAACCTCACATGACAAAGGTGGGTTGAGCGCACAGATCACAACATAAACTCCAAAAATGGCATTAAAATCGGAACCATCTGTGCGTAAATGACGCATCGCGCTCCGTGGCCTGGCTCTTTCTTTCATAGATGTTGGCATATAAAATAAATTTGGCTCACAAAACTGAATATTATAATATCCGTATGTCGGCTTAAAGTAGATAACGCATCTGAGCACTGAAACAAATCATCTGTTCAGCTGCAGCAGCAGCAAGACGGACAGAGGACACGGAGACGTGTCCAGGTCGAGCTGTGCGAGAAATAAGAGGAAGAGGAAGAAAGAAAAGGAGGGAGACGAATTACATATCTTGTTAACTTCATCATGTGTGAATATTTACTAGATATTTAATTTAATTTGATGTGGTTTCAGCTGTGTTGATTCGGTCAGGTTGTGTGTCCAAACGCGTGCCAAACGCGCTCATCAGATCAGATATAGATCAGAATATATCGATATAGATCTAAATGTATGTGCTGACTCAGATTAATAGTTGATGATGATTATTTATTGCACTGAAATGTGCGTGACACTGTGGAATCCTGCCGGTGAGGCATCAGTGACGTATGTCGATACGCCGCCGGTCTACCAAAATACTACAAGACCAGCTGCGTTCCGCCTTGCGCTGAAAGCTGACCAGGTTTGAATCGGCGAGCTTTCAGCGCACTTTACACGCCGTTGGCGAGCACGAAAATGTCACTGCGCCAGCTGATTCTGTCGACACCTCCCCCTGCCACGCCACCACGCCCAGCTTGGCGGATCTCGGCTCGCCTCCGTGCGGCTCATGCCACGAAAATACCAAACTGGCCTTACGCTGGGCTCCGCCAGACGAAAATACAACTGCGCGGGGCTCGCCGCCCTCCGCCGCCTCACCGGCGCGCACGAAAATAGAGCCCATAGACTGTATATAGAATGGACGCAGTCTGCCTCCTTGCTAGGTAAAGCCACCACAAGAACAGCACCCTCTGGTGACGGGCTGCAGTATAGGTCATAAATCCCGCCTCCTCCAGCAATCCCTATGGAGTTGTGGACAAACTTTAGAAATTTAATACACAGAATAAACATTTTTCTCCCTCCTGGTTGTGATGTTGACATGTAGTTACTGTAAGACTGGTTTGTGCTCAAGTCCTCTTTTTTTCTGTGCAGCTCCATTTTTAGTTAGCTACATGGTTCATGTTTTCTATGATTGACACTTAATACAGCCTATGGGCATATGAAGATTGTGTGGCTCATCACAGCAACTCTCGGTGATTCTCTGCCGAATGCGTACAAAGGTACTGCGCCAGTGGGGGTTCCAGTTAGTGGAGAAAAAAAACGGAAATACAGAGAACAATTAGGCCTCAAATTTGTATAATGACGGAATTGGAGCCAAGTTGTCCATAGTATATACAGTCTATGGTGGGGGAGCTCTTCCACCTCACTTTTGGAGAGCTGACATGTCATTTATCTTTTTACTCTGCGTATGGTCCAGAGACTTTATTTCTTTCTCTATATTTCTATATTTCAGAGGGTATTCATTCAAAAGAAACCTACAGTGTCATATTTGAAGATTCGGGGTGCTGACCAAGCTGGGATATTTAAAAAGAAGGAAATGACAACAAGCCCATTTAAATTGAAAACCTTTCATGAGTGCATGTGTGTGTTTGTGTAATTAACAGCATACCCTGCACGTGTTATCATGAGGTTCAATAACCTGTCAGGTGTTGGACTCATTCCCTCAAACCCCCTGAGTTTACTGCTCGTTAATTGGTTTGGTGTAAAGGAATTCTTTGCTGATTTGCTGTCCATATTTCTGATTATTCATCACTAAAACCAAGTCTTGCATCATTTCTGCACCCTGTCCCACAGAGGAGCCTTAAGTCAAATTAGGAGCTTGTTTTATCATGCTCGTACTGTGCTGACACAGGGCTGAATTCATAAAACTACACTTTTTTAAAAAAGTATATCCAGAGTCTGTATATATGAACAGCTTCAGTGATGGACACTGGGAAACATCAGGTAAGTCTGTGGTCCCCCCTTTATTTCCAGGACACTATTAAATAACATTTACATTTAATTTTTATCTGTCCTGAATAATAATTTGATCACAGAAGCCAATTATTTGTGTTAATTGACATGGCTTAGGGTTCATTATATTTATATTATGGAAAACTATCTAATTAAAGCTTATGTGAGATCTTTTAAATCCATGAAATAGACTATGAAATAATCTATGATATTTATATGAATCCCCTTTTAATGAAATCTAAAAGCAAAGAAGACCTTCAGTGACATGAATGATGATTTTTGCATTGTAAGTTTTTAATGCCTGAAATTTCCACATAAAATATGATCAGTTGATTATCCATTTAAGAGTCAGAGGTCAAAAAGATGAGATTGCTTTTGTCAAGAGGTATTACCCCAGCATGTAGAAGAAGAAAAATCAAATACTACTCCGTCCACTCTGGGCAGGATTGATTAAATAAAAACTTTCTTCAGTGTGGGATTCTTCCACAAACACCCAAACCCCTTCACGAAATTCAGAAATCTAAACCAGGGAGGAAACATTTTTGGTGCTGGCAGAGTACCTTGTTTTTATCTGCCGTCTACTTTGACCTTTTTTGCCTCTGGCTTATACTGTCATGTCACTGTGACATCAGCCCTAAAAGGTCTATACAAAATGTTTGTTTGTGTGTCTGCATATGTGTGCATTTTCTAGCCATCTTCATCCCTAGTTTGAGTTCTAGGTCAATAAAATTATCCAAGTTTGGAGATTTCAAAAAATGGTCACCCTGACCTGTCCATCTCCACTGAGTCTCAGTTCCACTGTATCATCCATCCATCTATTTTCTAACGCTTTTTCCTGTTGGGGGTCACGAACCTATCCCAGCATCTTCGGGTGAAGGCAGGGGACACCCTGGACAAGTCGCCAGCTCATTGCAGGGCTGACATATAGAGACGAACAACCATCCACACTCACATTCACACCTACAGGCAATTTGAAAGTGGCCAATCAACCTAACCCACTTCTGCATGTTTTGGGGAAACTGAAGTACCTGGAGTAAACACAGGGAGGACATGCAAACTCCACACAGAAACACCCTGACCTGGGTTCGAACCCAGGACCTTCTTGCTGTGAGGCGACAGTGCTAAACACTTCACCACTGTGCCGCCCACTGTATCATACAAATCATTCAAATTGTTTAGTATTCATTTTATTTGTTGTAGTTGCTGTAATTGCACTTTTATCATCCCCATTGCTTTTAATATGTACAACACTTTGGTCAACCCAGGTTGTTTTAAATGTTCTCTATAAATAAAGTTTGAGTTGAGTTGAATTGAGTCACATTAAAGTCAGTGTCAAAAACAGTGTCACTGTAATTTAAAAGCAATTATACAGAGCTAAAGTCCGAATTCAGGATTTGTCGGGTCTGTCTGCGAAGATGAGACAGGCAAAGTGACTTATGTCCTGATGCAAATTCAGGACATCAGAAATGTCTTAATTCAAATTACACTTGTGTAAGTAGATCTTAATTTCTCATTGCATATATAGTCAGTCATTAAGTCTCTGCAACCTCTTTCTCTCCAACAATACTGGTCATTTCCCATGTTCAGATTTGATTGATTCGTGTCATTAAAAACAAGAAGCTGTCATTGCATTTACCTCACAGTCACAGTAAGCAAGCATGGGCTTTTCTTTTTGCTTCTGGTCTGCCTGTAAAACAAATTTCCCCAAGGAACGATGAAGTTGAGGCTGAATCTGAAGAAAACGCCTCTACTGTTAAGTCTCTGTCACATTGCTCTCATCAGTTTTCTTCCCTGTTAAAGAAGTCAGCTGTTTTTTAAAGTAAAAGCTCCGATAAACAGGCTGTCAAGCACCGACACAGCAGAAAGACACAAGGAGAAGTGAGCTGGCAGACAAAACTGACATCATTTAGCAGCTAATCACATTGCTTGTCAGGAGTTCATTTGGATGAGGAAAAGTAAAAACTTTGATTTACCAGTATGACACCAATGTAAAAGAGGAACTGGTGCAAAAGATCAAAACATTTACAGCTTGATGCACATTTCAGAATCTGTTGGTGTAACCATTTAGGTTATTAATCAATCAAACATTCATTCTTTCAGTCTTTTTATGTTTTCTAACTCAGATTAAATTACCTACAATCAGAATTTTAATTATAATCTGCAGAGAGTAGCTCAAACTTCAAAATAAAAGCATTTTTTTACCATAAAGCTACCCTAACAAAATAAATGCACAATTGTTTTATAGGGCAATGCTGGTTTAAGGAAGTTTCAGTCACATAAATAGTGATGTGGATAAATCACAGACTTGAACATTACAGGTAAGGTAATCGTACTTATTGGTAAAATTTATGAAGTAATATATTGTGATAAACCTAATGGGAATAAAAGCCAATTTATGCTTTCAATTACAAGCTGTTCAAGTAGAATTCATTCCTCCAAATATGTTTGCAATTTAAGCAACATAATTTCTGAGTTTTCTGGGGAGTCTCAGTTTCACTGTAAACAGCAAGCTACACTGAGGCTTTACTTTGGCATGTTCTTCTGTAAGAATAACAACATCATGATGCAGATTAGTGAGGAAAAGGTCAAGATTTGTCAGGTCTGTCCTCAAGATTGGAAGGTCAGATCTATTGTCTCGCATTTAATGGAACCCTGAAGATCTTGAAGCTGATTGGCTTTAGAGAAATAAATGTACGTTAGATTTGTGTCTGTAGTTTGTAGAGTACACACAACAACAAACAGAGAAAATACTCTTTGCAGTTAGTTATTTAACATAGTTATACTGCATGTTTATTTATATATATCATTTTCTGGTTAAGAAAAAAAAATGTTTAACGCTTTTAAAAACTGTAACTTTCTTTTATTGGAGAGTCAAGTTGCATAAGGTATAAATGTAGAAACTGCAGCAGTACGTGTTAAATGTGTTCTTGACAGAGTTAAGAAAGTGAGAAGTGGAGGTGCGAGTTTTGACACAAATTACATAAACCCTGTTCAGAGACGTGACGCACAGTAGTGTGGCAGGTAGAGCTGCTGTTTACTGGGTCTTCGGGGAAAATATAATGTGACATGTTTATCCTGCAGTTTTCACTTAATGAGTACTCAGAGGTGAGGGGACATTGCACACAGAGCAAGTTAAACAGCTTATTTTTGTCCCAAGGCCCCATAACAGGTAAATCCAGCTTTAAGACCCTGTATTTCTGCCCTCAGAGAGGCAGGCTGAATTTTAATAGCTCCAAAGTGAGAATACTTTAGGGCAGAGTAAACTTTAACATGGATACAGAGTGAGAGTTAAACCAGAGTTAGGTTAGAGCTGCGTAAAGGTTAAGGCACTAAAAAGTGTAACATCAATACTTTTGAAGTCCAGAAAAAGGAGACTGATCTTTATTTCTTCTTTTTTTTTTTTCTTCTTTTCAGTTTTTAATGCCCATAACTGCTGTGAGGGGGTAGGTGTCAGACCAGATGCTCTGAAGAAAATTGTTTTGTTTTGTTTTGTTTTTTGTTTTGTTTTTTTCATATAAAATAGTCAAAGTGAGGAACACATTTCAGTCTTTAAAGACAGTAGGATGAATTTTTGTTTGAAAAATCACTTTTACATGTTTAAGACAAGAGGGATTGGTTTACACACTGGGGGGCGTCACTATCAACACAAACCGAAATTCCCCTCTAGAGATTTAAGTCAAAGTATAATTACTTCATAGACATTTCATTTGAAGTAAAGCTACCAGTTTTTTGATCTATTCGAGTTAAGGATAAAGTAAAAAGAATATTTTGAAGCATCTTTTTTTCCGCATTGCACTTTGTAGATGGTCCCTGAACATTTCAGGGTGTGTCAGGTATTTCACTCTCCATGGAAAAACAACATAAAATTACCGTGATTTCTCTGTCATCGTTGTATTTCCACCCTTGTTTTGCATCTATCACTGAAATAACTTTAGAAGTGGATATATTTGTGTTTATTCAAAATGTTTCATGTGTAACTGTCTTGTGAGTAACAGACACGTAGGCCCTCTGTCACTGTCACTGTTGTCCTGGTTGTTTAATTTCATGGTGCTGATGTTACCCACTTTGGGTTTAGTCAGTAACTCC